ATGGATGATGAAAAACGATGGAAAACAATAAAGAAATTAGATTCTTCAAAGACTTCAGCAAAATAATTTGCAGAGAAAATAAAGTAACTGTAGACATAACAGAATGAAGTACAGCATGTAAAGTCTGAAAGAAGACGTAGCTCCAGCAATGCTACCATAGTGTTTTTACCTACAGTGGACAATACTCAAAATTGAACTTTCTTCAGTTTTTCTGGTTGTTTTCAATTCATCATTTTTACATAACATATTTATCTGGAGCCACTGTGTCACAGAGAGGGTTACTTGCCCAAAGAAGTCATAAAGCTTAAAAAATAATGCATATATACATACTTTTTCAAATTTTGTTTATATACAGTCTCTTTGCCCATATGGAAAAGATATATATAAATCTTATAAAGTTTGTATCTGTCTTGTGTGAAACTTGTATGAAAAGCATATAAGTGTGAAAACAGATATAAGATCCCTTGAAAAATTATATAATGAAACTTGTATGTTTTGGATACTTACTAAAACAATGTATGAAAGTAATGAGAAAGTGGCCACTTTCATGAGTAAATCATGTAAGCCTTATATGATTTACTCATGAAAGTATATGTGATTACTTTCATGAGTAATCACATATAAGTTTTTACTATTTCTTTTCCGTATGGGTGGATTTGATCTCTCGTACAAACATTGCAAGAAATTCTGTTATGTTTGCCTTTATTATCATTTAGTTCATTTTGTTGTTTTTTGATATGGTTGAACAGCTAATAGAGGGAATGTGATACTGCATATAGATATCACGGTAACATACGCATAAGACATCCTTAAATTTGTAATAAAAGTAAAAGATTATTGGATATTTTCAATACAAGGAAACTTGAAGGCATCTCGGCAAAAAAAAAAGGGGGGGGGTACAGTCTGTGTTATGATAATACATAAATACCTTGTCTTCACTGTAGCTGTAGCACATTTCTGCTGTCAGGTGTGACTTGAGTTAGCATTATGATTCTGCCTGCTTGCAAAGGTGAACAAGGGAATGTGAGATTAAAGGAAATGAACTGAGGAGAAAGAAAAGTGATATGACATTATGATATGCAGGACACGTCTCCTTTTCTAAGGACATGATCTAGTATTTCTGCAGAGCACAGTGTCAAAGAGGCTCATCCATCACATGATTTTATGGCAAAAAGCCTGGTCGCCGGGCTTATTTCATTTTTTCATCAATGAGTCTGATGACTAATAAACTCTTTGACCGTGATTTCATGTGGAATAATGCTACTACATGAACACAACCTAAATTTAAAAGCTTTATAGTCACAGACACTGCTATCTAGCCAAATTGGCACATTAAAAACAGTAAAATTTGGCTTCATTCAGCCGTGGCTCCCAATGACAAAAGAAATGCTGGGAGAAAGATACGGGAGAGCACGTTAGGGCCACATGAAGAGAGATTAAGAGGGACAATAGCAAATTTCTCCTCCCCCTTACTGAGACTCCTTTGCTATAATCAGCAGCCTTAGTGTTTGCTGTAAGAAAGGGGTGTGATGCTAATCACGGTGCAGGGATGCATGGTTTAGCACGAGATGCATAGGTTGGGCACAAGATTGGGCAGACTGTAAAAGGTTTTTGATTATAAATAATCTCACCCATAACGCTAAAAGTCACTTTAAGCCCTTAACACCCACTGGCCAAAATATGAGTCCATTGAAAATTCTGCTGCTGTATTTTGAATGACATTGGTCCAATCTGAATGACATTTGCCAAACCGCAAAGCCTCATGATTCAGAGAAGTTAAGTCTTTTACAGACACCATTGCTCTTATTTGTAAGCATGCAGCAATACATTGTCTCCCTTGACTCACTATATATAGCACGCTGTTTTCAGCAAGAGCCCATTTAAAGCACCACATATATGGACAAAGCCATTGGGAACATTGAGTGCTATCTATTTAAACATGTGTGGTCAAGAGTTAATATACTTTTGTTTTCATTTATGCTTCCATCATTAACCTCGCGCCTGTTCACTGAATGCTTTCACCTCTCCTTGGCCTCTTCTTTCTTATTAGAAAACACCAGGTATGTCCCCATATTGTCAATATTACAATTAAGAGATATGCATCTCCAAAGCTCATTTCTGTGTAAAAAAACAGGGGGTTGAAAACCAAATGCCATCAGAGTGGAGAAACACAGCAAATGTACCCGTCCTTGTGTATCTTGTGAGACTAAAATGTTGATACAGTGTAAATCAAAGTGCATTTACTTCATCAACTGTAACTGTAGGAGGTGCTACTATGAGGAAAAATCTTAAGCCTAAATTGCCAAGATTTGTTTGAAAAATCCATAAGATAAACTAAACACATTTCTTACTGTAAGAATATAATCTGGCATTTGCGGCCGCTGTAATCCTGGCCTATGGAGACGTTGTGCTATATTGGAAGTGACAGTGATTTATGTGACGAACACTGGCTTCATGTTAAGTATCACATTATTGATATGACAGCTGTAGCTTATACTCAGGACCTGCAAGTGACAGAAAGGTCCACATGTGTGTGTTGGACTGTTGTGAAACTGTACGCTGGCTGTTTTGTTCTTTTACATGCGTGTGTATAAGGAAAGCAAAGTCTGTAAAGTGTCTGTTTATTCGTGTGCACAACTTGTATGACCGTGCATCTCTGAGTGGTTGTGCGCGCAGCCGATGTGAGTGTTTTCCATTTTGTGTGCTAAGGCTAGAATTGGCCTGTCAGTCACAGTAAAGTGGGGAGAAGAAGGAGACGACATGTGTCGGGAAGTGGAGAGAGAAAAGGAGAGCGTATGAAAGAGATGGATGCGAGAGCACAAGAGAAGGGCAGAGGAGCAAAAGAGGAGGAGGACGAAAGTGAAGTTTGGGGGGATGAAAAGAAACTTTTGTTCTTTTTTTGAAAGAGAAATGCAAATGGAGATGCAGCACAAATGTCTGAGCGATTCTTGATGTCAATTCATTTCAGAAACAGCAGAATAGTCCTTGAGAAGAAGAAAATAACGAATAATGATAAAGTTTGCCATATACCACTTTTCAAGATCTGTGATATGAAGTCCTTTGCAGGAGCAGCAAAGTAAAATGATTAGTGAGCAAAATAAAACAAGCACCAGAGACAATTGAAGTGCTGCAAAAGAAATAATTTAAGAAATAAAAAATGGTAACAGAATCTGAAACTCAGGTAAAATCAGGAAAAGCTTTCCTCTTTAAGTATATTTAAGTATAAGTATATCCATCCATCCATCCATCCATCCATCCCTCGTTAATCCCAACCACCTTCTTCATCTCATCCAGAGGAACTGTCCCCAAGCCAGCTGAGAGACATAGTTTCCTGTGCATACTGTGGGCCCTCCACCGAGTATGCCCAGAACACCTTGCTTAGGGGAGGCCCAGGAGGCATCCTAATCAGATGCCCTAACCATCTCAACTTGCTCCTTCCGGCATGGGGGAGCAGCAGCTCTAGAATGACTAGATTTCTCACCCTTTCTCTAAGGCTGAGCCCAGCCATGCTTCAGAGAAAACCAATTTCTGCCCCATGGAATCATGATCTCCTTTGGTCATTACTCAGAGCTTGCGACTATAGTTAAGTGTAGCAATGTAGTTTTACACTTTGGTTTTACGCTCAGCTCACTTCACCACAATGGATTTGTGCAGCATCTGCATCAATGCAGATGCTGCACAAATCCGTTTGTCGACCTTCCGCTTCCTCACTTTGGAACAAAACCCCAGATACTTTAAGTCCTTTCCTGTCGAGAACCATGGGTTTGGATTTGGAGAAGCTAATTCTCATTCCCACTTTGAGCTGGAGGCCAGCAACTGATGAAGCCAACAGAACTATATCATCTGCAAAGAGCTGACACGAAATCCAGAAGTGACCCGGCTTGTTAGAAAACAGCAAAAGACTGCCTGTAAATTTCCCCTGCAGTGCATATTGTGACATTTAAGGTCATTGTTGCATCCCTGACCTCTTAGTACCAAATCAATACATATACACAGCACTCCAGGACTGGATCCACTCACTGGATTCCAGTATGGGTAATGGACCGTTGCTTGGGTTGCAGCATGTGGGATCTTCTAATTTGTGTTGTTCTTACTGACTGGATTCTTTTCGATGTCTTGTGCTTGGAAGACTAAATCCATTAAGACATATTGCAGCTATAAAGATAATCTCCAAAAATGTAAGGAGAGTGTAACTCTCCCACAGGCAGATAAACGTCATGTTTTAACGATTTCAGGTAACACGCAAAGGGTTGTAATGTCATGTTGCAGGTGGAATAATGTTCAGTTGAGCAATAACTTTATCTTCCTAAAGTGTGAAGCTTCCATTTCCATATACGTGTGAATGCTTACATAACAGTTTTTTTATTGTTCTCCCAAACTCGACTGATCACACTATGTTTTTCTTGCGTTCATCACTCATCAGGCTTTGCTTTCATTTGTTTTAGTGTGAAGTGCTCCCTGCTGCTCCTTCTCTCCTTAGACTTGCTCCCTAAAGGTCTTGAGGATGCTGGCAATGAATATTTCACTAAACTGCATTCTCAGGTTATCAATAATAAAATGGCATATTCTTATAAATATTCTAAAAATATAGCTGGACTCTGCCTCTTCTGTGGTGCATTAAAGATTCATACACACCTAGCAAACTGCTAAATCTTCCACCATAACAGACCCACATGTACATCACCACTGGACTGTATGCAGGTGTTTTCTTCACACTTCTACGTTTTTGTGTTTGCATGTGTGTGCCTTAGTGTATCAGCCCAGCTCAGTTAAACCTAGAAAAGTGCTAAAAGAGGTGATTCACTTTGTCAACAGTCTGAATCACCACTGTCTAATACTACAGCACTCAAGCATTACAGACAGTTACACAGGCACACATGCTCTCCCCAGCCCACACACTCACCCTGTACACAGCCTTAAATATGATCTCGCTCAGTCTGACGCACATGCAAACACAAATGCACTCTGTTTGTCTCTCACAGATCATTTCCCTCCCTCACCGTGGTGAGATGTCGCAGCCTTGTTGCATGAAGGCTCCCAGTGAGAACCACAGGGAGTTAAAGATGCCAAACTCATTTGGAGGTTGGTCAGTGGGGCCCTGCTCCGTGGCACCCTCCTCTGGTTCCTCTGCATGCCACTCATACGGACTGAAGCGACTCACCTAAGATAGCATATGCAGAAAAGTGGTTAGAAAATTTTAAAGAAAAAGAAGAGCTGAATAGGAACATTAAAATGAAAAATTGAAACATGTTAAGGACTTGAATATGCACACAAATGTTTTCATTTTAATTTCAAGAAAGACACTACAGGACTACCAAGGTCTGAAATGGTCAAAATCCCCTTTTTTAACCACATGGTAATGAGACACAGACAGCACTATCACCAATGTTATTATGCTCTTCCACAACATTAGAACACTAAAGGAATCACCAGAGATGTAAGTCAGCAATACCAGTGTATATAATCTATACTAAATATTGCGGATAAATATAATAGCAACAGAGTAAACTTGGACTTGACAAAGCTAAAAACAGTAGACATGGTGTGCAGCTAAATTACAGTACAGGTAGCTGGCTTGGCGTCATTTCCCTGCATTGCTCAGTAATAATAATAGTGTAGACAAAGTTACAGACCCATTTGAGGTAACACGGTTGTGTGGCAGTATTTTTGTGTGGCAGAAAAAAACAAGAGAAACATTGAAAAGGAAAGCAGCAAAATAAGGAAAAAATAGCTTTTTGGGCCGTTGGTCATCAGAAAAGAACATTTGTGGTTGCAAACTACAATCACAATTGTTGACTCTACAGCATATATCAGACAACATTTTCTTGTTTCCAGTTTTCTACTTTATCACATGTGACTGTAAAGTACAAAAATGTATTAGGCTTTTTATTTATATAGAGGCAATGAATATTCTTTTGGCCTTAAATCAAACTTTGGCAAATACACAGTACTGTGTGATGTGATGGATCACGTTCCTCTATAGCTGGTGAAGTAATTTGACTGGCTAGTCAGTTAATATGTACACAAATAATTTTAACTCCAGAACTTTAGCAAGCTAAGGTTAACTGTAACCTGTAACTTTGTTACATGACTTTGGTTATAGTCATTTGATAACAACCAAACATTTGAACATTTCAGTAAAGAATCGCTCTTGCCTGGGAGCGATTCTTTTCTGAAATGTTCAAATGTTTGGTGACCAGGACACCATGAGCCCATGGGCTGAAGTGTACTCTGTGAATTTTTAATAAATTCATAATAATATAGTGCACAAGTAGTGCTAATAAAAAGATGCAGAGGCTGAGAATGAACACTGATTATGGGCTTGCAACATTACAGCAAAGCATGGTGGCCTCTATCAACTAAACAGCAGAAGTTTTTGTTGAAGTGTATTTTTGAAAATGATTATCAGCTATTAGTGGACTCCATTTCCTAGCAAGTAGCATTGCCTGGTCTTCATCACCTTTGGCACCTTTAAATTTTCAAGTTTGACCAGAGTTGTTTTCTTTTGTTTAAGATCAGTCCACAGGTCACAGAGTTAGTTGGGTAGGGTTGCATTTTTTAAGTTGCGCTATAATCTATTCACACAGAAGTTAATACAAAATGATAGAAATGTGTTTTCAGAGGCAAACTGAGCTAGCAAGCGGCGAGAGACATCTGTTTAACATCTCAGAACAGATAAAAGGAAAACCTTGGAGAGTGAATTTCTGATTTATATAAAAGAGGAAAAACTGTTTCCTTGAATATTCAGACAATCTGGTATCACAGGGCTTATGCTGATCTTGTGCATGCTAAAGTGGGCTGTCTTAAATATCTGACATTGAGCATTTAAATGTCTCGCATACATCACTATTATGATATTTCTGCTCATAGAGGATGCCTCTAAGTATCCAATGGTTTCCTGCCTAGAAGCTGTCTTCAACACTGTAAATGCCATTTCAGCTGAGAGTGTAAAGGGAGTACTGTCATACTTCTTAAATTTTTAAATGCATTAGCTATTGAGGGCTAATCTATAAAACATAAAAAATATATACTCAGAGACATCAAGAGTCATGATGAGTTGTGTGGTAAAAAAGCACCTTACAATAAAAACTAACTTCTGTAGCTACTGTATGCGCTTTCATCCCTTAACCCAAGGCTTCAGTAACTTTTCTAGTCCAGTCCTGGGATCCAGCTCAAATTCTAACACCTAGTATGTAACAATAACTCACCAAAAACAGCACAACACTGACGCCAATGTAAGCGAACACTATGCACATCCAGATCTCGTAGGCCAGTGGGTCCAGGAAAGAGAAAACACCTGGTTTAGACTTCTGAGGCTTCTTGATCATGATTGAAATTCCCAGAGACATGAAAGGCTTAGAGAAGTCGATCACCTCCTCTCTCACCAGGGTGATGGTCAGTGGGGCCACAGCAATTTCTGCTTTCTGCAAAGGAGAGGGGTGGGGCTGAGATTTCACTTCACTCTCATGTTTTTACTGCAGTTAATTTGCATCAACTGCATATAAAACAAACAAGCTATAATGAATAGAAACTGTCAATGAGCAAAGCAAAGGGGAACTGGACTCAAAGGTGAGAGAAGAAGTGGGAGAGCAGAGGGTTGAAAGAAATGCAGGCGGGTGATGGGATACCAGAACGACAGAGGAGTATTTCATACAGTAGACATGAAAGGCAGTGTGCATACAGACTTACACACATTTACAAAATCCAAAGAAAAGTCAGAAATACCATTAATTCAGCACACAGACTGCTGAATGATTGCATATTTCTAAATGATAGCTACAGTGGTAAGTGAAACAACCTACGATAGCAGTGCATTGCTACAAAGAGTAAAGATGTTGCAACACAAGAAAAGTAAACAGCAAATATAAAAGAACGAGGACAGAAGTGATATGAAAAGAAAACAGAGAGGACAGGATATCAAATACCCACTCAACCTAATGCACAATAGAG